ACTGCTGTATTTAAAATAAAATGCCTTTCCATGAAAAAAATAAAATAAAATCAGGTTAAAAAAATAAAACTATGGGAAGAGAATACCCAGAATTGATTGAGGAGGTACAAGAAGAGGATGCTGCTTATCCTGCTGCTTGGCACAGTCTTCCTGTGTCATTTCTAGGAACTTATCCCATAGATATATTGATATTAATGCACAAAGATGTCCTGTAGGGTGAGGCTCATTGCAGCATCATTTGCAATACTGAAAAGCTGGAATCGACCTATATTTCTATCAGAAGGGAACGGATTGAGAAGTACTTGGTGGAATAATATGCTACCATGAAAAATGAAGTAGAGGGGACTTCGCTGGTGGCACAGTGGTTAAGGATCCCCCTGCCAATGCAGGGGACACGGGTTCAAGCCCTGGTCGGGGAAGAGCCCACATGCCGCGGAGCAACTAAGCCCATGTGCCTCAACTACTGAGCCTGCGCTCTAGAGCCTGCGAGCCATAACTACTGAGCCCACGTGCCACAACTACTGAAGGCCACGCGCCAAGAACCCAGCGCATAAATAAATTAATTAAAAAATATATTTTCCATGTCTCTATTTGACTTATTGTTTTAAATTTTATTTATTTTTGCCTGCGTTGGGTCTTCATTGTTGCGCGGGGGCTTTCTCTAGTTGCAGTGAGCGGGGGCTACTCTTCGTTTCTGTGCGCGGGCTTCTCATTGCAGTGGCTTCTCTTGTTGCGGAGCACAGGCTCTAGAGCGCAGGCTCAGTAGTTGTGGCGCATGGGCGTAGTTGTTCCACAGCATGTGGGATCTTCCCGGACCAGAGCTCGAACCCATGTCCCCTGCATTGGCAGGCGGATTCTTAACCACGGAGCCACCAGGGAAGCCTGAAAAAAAATATATTTTTTAATGTAGTAGATTTATAAAAAATGACAAGGGAAGGTCACCAGAATATTTCCTTTAAAAACTGGTGATCCAGTGGTTAAGAATCCGCCTTCCAATGAAGGAGACGCGCGTTCGATCCCTGGTCGGGGAACTAAGATCCCACATGCCTCGGGGCAGCTAATCCCGCGCCTGGCAACTACTGAGCCCACGTGCCACAACTAGAGAGAAGCCCTGCATGCCTCAACGAAGATCCCGCGTGCCACAACTAAGACCTGACGCAGCCAAAATAAATAAATTTAAAAAACAAAAAAGTCAAAACCTGTTCGTAGAGTATGCTGCAGTTTGTGTTTAAAACAAAAAAGGAGGGCTTCCCTGGTGACACAGTGGTTGAGAGTCCGCCTGCCGATGCAGGGGACATGGGTTCGTGCCCCGGTCCGGGAAGATCCCACATGCCGCAGAGCGGCTGGGCCCGTGAGCCATGGCCGCTGAGCCTGCGCGTCCGGAGCCTGTGCTCCGCAACGGGAGAGGCCACAACAGTGAGAGGCCCGCGTACCGCAAAAAAAAAAAAAAAAGAAAAAAAAAGAAAGAAAGATAGACTTGCATATACAATAGATGCAATAAAAATGTCTGGAAGGCTACACAAGCAACCACTGAATAGTGTCTTTAGAGAAGGGCAGTCAAGCGAATGGGTCAGGATTTAAGGGGAATTTTACTTTTCACTTTATGCCTTTTTTATAGTTAGATTTTTCTTAAAACTAGAAGCATGTATCTTTTATAATAAAATGTAATATTTGATATTTATAATCTGCTGGGCATTACTCTAATTACTTTATATAAATGCACTCTTTAAGCCCTCATAAGAGCCCTATGAAGTAGGTAGTAGTTTTTTGTTTATTTTCTGTTTCTGGCCGCAACATGCAGCATGCGGGATCTTAGTTCCCCAATCAGGGATCGAATCCGTGCACTCTGCAGTGGAAGTGCAGAGTCCTTACCACTGGACCACCAGGGAATTCCCAGGTAGTAGTTTATCCCTATTTTATAGAAGAAGAAATGAAGCACAGAGATGTCAAATACTCAAAGCGTATATTTTTATAATTAAAAAAATCTTAGAAAAAAAATTACATATTCTCAGTCTTGCTTTCTCCTTCCACACCCTCCACATATTTGACACTTTCTTCCGAGAAGAGAAACTGCCCAGGGCTGGAGCCCTTCTCTTGGAAACCGTCTGTGAAGCAGGGGAGGCGGACGGGGCTACAGATCCTCCATTGGTGGGTCAAGCACGGGTCAAGCAGCTACAGGCAAAAAAAAAAAAAAAAAAAACCCCCCAGCCCCTCAGTTAGGGACTCACATGAAAGTGAAAGTATGCAATAAGGTACTCAATAAAGTGTGTAGTAATAACAATGGCCGCTATCACTTATCAAGCACCTACTAACTGTCACCTCCTGTGCTGAGTGCTTTACAAATACTATCACTTTTAATTCTAACAGCACAAAGGTAGGATTGTTATGACCCCTTTTTATCAAGCAGGAGAAAGCAGAGGCTGAGCAAGTTTAAGTAATGTGCTCAATTATCCAGCAGGTAAGAGGAAGAGCCCGATTTGGACCTAACTCCATCTGAATCACAATGCTCTCAATTGCTCCTGCATCCTACACCACAGTAACTCAATTAAGGGAGAAAAAAGGGTAGAAGGAACTTCTCCCTCCCCCACCCCAAAACAAAGTCTAGCTATAGTCAGTGAAAACGAGACAGAGAACAGGCCTTTCAGATCCACAGCTAACATGAAACACCCAAAAATCTTCATTAGGCACTAAGTGTAATAATAATTATTATTATTCTGCTTATAAGTCCAGGAGTTTTACACTGGTATTTGTTAATGTTCACAACAATTCTGCAAGGTAGATGTCATTATCTCCACTTTATATAGGAGGGAACGAAGGCTCAGATAGGTTGTAGCTCTCCTAATGACACACAGTGAGGACAAGGCGTCGCTGGCTTATGAATTTGTCTGCCTCACTCCAAAATCAGTTTTTTCACAAGGCCATGCTGTTAATACCTTCAGGTGAACCTGAGGCAGCATATCATGGTCAACACAAAATGAAATCCAGACCTCTAGGCTTTCAGGACAGGAATTACTCTTCCCTGACTCCAGGGAAGGCCCCCCTCCCCCAAACAGAAGGCTGTTGCTTCACCTACTTGGTAACTACACTGCAGCCTCACAACCCATCACCTCAGAGATTACCTTTTGTGTGTCTCACTAGGAAGAAGAACTCAAACTTCACCTCAACCCCACCTTTAGACAAAGTACGTAAAGGTTTGGCAGGCTCCTGGAAAGAATGTTGAGTCTAGTCTAGAAACCCACAGATACCACTACCCAAGTGCCTTTTCAGACACTTCTTTATCAAAGTTTTATTAGCCTCAGCTCAAGGTACCTACATCTAGGCATCTCATTACAGAGCAAGGACACTTCAGCCATTTGTAACACCACCACCCAAGCAGGAGTTTCAAGGACAGTAGCAGAAATGTGTTGCAAGGGAGCTATAAACCCTCCTCAGCCCCTTTCCTCTCCTCCAGGCATTTGGTCTCTCAACTCACCTATTTCTTCACAGTCCACAACTGGATTACTCCCATTTCTTAAACTATCTGTGACATTCTCATCTCTGCTCATTTTTTCACACTTCTCTTTGCCTGGAACTCATTCTCTCCTGGTCGAAATCTATCTTCCACTTTGAACTCCAATCCCACCTAATTTATCTTTGGGCACCTGTCACTTTACATTCTTCATTACAATTATTCAAAACCATTCTTTTTTTCCCCCTCCTACTTGACTATAAACTACCTATGTGACCTCAAAGTAAAGTACTGCCCTAGACACTGGAGATAAATATGTATAATATATATGTGATAATTTACGGAGAGATTTGCGTTTTGTTCTCATTTCTGCTGGTGATTTGTCTCCCTACCCCCAAGAAGGTAGCCAGCCCCTAATGTTCCCTAACTGAAGGCTTCTAAGTTTCAGATCTAAATATCAGCAGTTTCCAGGCACCCAGAAGACAATATCCAGAAATGCTTTTGAAAAGTGTGGGCTTATTACGGGAACTGATCCAGGAGAAGGGATGGGAGTGCTTTCAATGAGGAAAGCAAAAATCTGTGGAGGGAAGGAAAGGGTTAGAGAAGGTACCAGGTGTTTGAGAGTTTATGGGAAAGTAAAGACCTAGCTTTCATTTGCATATAGCACCCCAGGATGAGGAGAACGCTGTGGGAGACTGTCCACTATAATACCTTGGCCTTGAGAGCAGTGGTAAGGGTCTGTCTCTTTGAGCAAGTGTGGAATGATTTATTCATCGTGAAGGGCAGGAAGATTAGCACTCACATTCGTAGAAGGCGCCACCCTAATGATTACGCAGCTGGCCTCTACCCCATGTTTTTGTGGAAGAAACACGTCTGCAGAAAGCAGTACTATATGTAGAGAGCTAAAATGCTTCGCCCTTTAAGACGACTTCTCTGATCAACAACGGCTAACGTTTAAGAACCTACTATATTGGAAACCATGGGATACGTACGCCTTGGATTCCCTGCTTTGGTCTGGGGCCCTTTTCCTGGCTAGATATCAGGTCTCCGATCTGAACACTCCCTCTGAGTTTAACTCCTCCAATAGCCTTCAGTCTTTCCATTGACCCGTCCTTCCTCAATGTCCCCCTCTAAGCTTCCCTTCTCCACCCCTCAACTCTGAGTCAGATTCTCCTTTAGTCGTCCCTTCTTCACGCTAATCTCTCCCTCCTCTCTTGCTGCCCAAACAGCCCCAATTCTCTCTCCTTCCGCTCCCGAGTCCCCCAGGCGGGTCCCCTTTCATTTCCATACTTCAGTGACCCCTCTCCCGTCCCCCCTCCCCCACCCCATTGAATTCCACAGCTCAGCCGTTGGAGGAGGCGTGGCCCCGCGAGCATCAGGTCTCCCGCCCCACAAGCCGCGGGCCCGCGCGCAGACAAAGACATTCCACAGCCCCGCCCCCTCCGCGCTCTCGGCCATAAGTGGGGGGAGACACGTGTCCCTCTAGCGCCGAGTCACGAGGAAAAGAAACTAACGGAGCCCGCGGACACCCGCGCACGCGCACAAGGCTCCGGCCTGGCGGGCTCGGAGGAAAAAGGGGAGCGGGGAGGCGACTTCTTCGGGCTCCGCGGCGGTGCGCAGGCGCCGTGGCCCGACCAGGGACTTTGTTCTCCGCGGAGAAACCCAAGGGCGGTGCCGGTACTGGCTGCGCACGCGCGCCGCTTCATTTCCGGTGCTCTCTTTCGCTGGGTCGCTCGGGTCGGCTTCGGTCGCCGTCGCTCCCGCTCTCCCACCTTCGCCAACCGTCGCTCGGGCCTCTGCCGCTGCCGCGTCGTTTCCTCGATCCCTCGATCGCATATCCTCCACAATGCAGCGCCGGGACGACCCCGCCGCGCGCATGAGCCGGTCCTCGGGCCGCAGCGGCTCCATGGACCCCTCAGGTGCCCACCCCTCGGTGCGTCAGGCGCCGTCTCGGCAGCCGCCGCTGCCTCACCGGTCCCGGGGAGGCGGAGGGGGGTCCCGGGGGGGCGCCCGGGCCTCGCCCGCCACGCAGCCGCCGCCGCTGCTGCCGCCCTCGGCCACGGGTCCCGACGCGACTGTGGGCGGTCCAGCGCCGACCCCGCTGCTGCCCCCCTCAGCCACTGCCTCGGTCAAGATGGAGCCGGAGAACAAGTACCTGCCCGAACTCATGGCCGAGAAGGACTCGCTCGACCCGTCCTTCACTCACGCCATGCAGTTGCTGACGGCAGGTAAGGGCGCCTCCGGGGTCCCTGTGGGTCGCCCGGCCACCCGGGGTCATGGGTGGTAGCGGCTTTGTTCCTCTCCCTTACCGCCCCCTGGGGACCCAGGCAGTCGTGGACTCCCCTTATCTCGTCCTCGTCTTCGGGACCCTAGATTCTACAACTCGCATTCCGGTCCAGGGTGCGAGGGAGAATTCCTAGGCTGCAGTGGGGGCCCGAAGGGGACTTGGCGATCTCTTAGCGCAAAGATTTTGATGGATAGTGCCGCGCTCCCCGCCCCCTTGCCGACCCTTCCCCCTCCCACCTCATGCAGCTGCCCCGCGCTCCGAGTGCTCAGATTCTTCCAGAAATGAACCTTCGTTTCCCGCTTCCCCGAAAGGGGAAGCTTTTTGATCGCGGGTGGCGGTCGGCGTCTCAACTGAGGGTGTAGGAGGTGAAGGCAGCCTGAGCCGGGAGGGAGGGAGGGAGGGCCGAGGTGAGATGGGGTGAGGCTGGGGTGCCCTGTCCAGCGCGCCGCGGCCGCCGGGGCCGGGTCGGACTTCGCGGTAACTGGAGCTTGAGTTGCTCGGAGGCAGGAGCAACCTGTGGGAATCGGAGCTTGAGGTTTTCCGAATCAGATTGCCGACTTCGGCCGATAAGATGGTCAGTTGCTTGTAGAGCCAGACGGTTGGATCCCTTTATTTTACAACGCGTGCTCGTCATTGGAGAAGGGAAAAACAAACCTAGAGACAGTGAAAGGGGATGATACAGGGAGATTAAGGATGGTTTCCATGACATTCCCAGTAAGATGAGAAAAAATTGAAAGAAGTTGGATGGTCTCCCCCCCTTTTTTTGCTTCAGTCCTGAAATAGATTAGGAATAGTAGTCTTTGTTCTCTGTGTGTAGACTAGCGCTCCTTTTTCGCTCAAAACTGGCCATCACCTAGTCGCCTTGATTTCTCCCTAAAGCCGTCTGTTTTGCTCTCCTAGTTAAAACGTTTTAATAAGTGTATCTTATGATACCTAAATTTTATTAAGCAAATAAAAATTCTCAACATTCCAACACTGAATGAGTAGTTGGACTCTTTGGCAGGGTTGATATAATGGTCACGTCCGTTATGAAAATATCATTTCTCTCCCTTTGTTCTCTGTCTCCCACCGTTGGTTAGAGGTCTTTACTTTTAAACACAGTAAACAAAGCCTGAGGTGGTCAAGAATTAGGTAAACTGCTTACATTTTCAACTCTGTACTTTGCTGTTCTAATAACAGCAGTCAGATTGTTTGAAACATTACTGTTCATTGTGTTCATTGTGTTCTTCTGGCAAGCTCTTTGAGGGCAAGGAATGCTTTTTGTTTGTTTGTTCGTTTGTTTTGCGGTACGCGGGCCTCTCACTGTTGTGGCCTCTCCCGTTGCGGAGCACAGGCTCCGGACGCGCAGGCTCAGCGGCCATGGCTCATGGGCCCAGCCGCTCCGCGGCATGTGGGATCTTCCTGGACCGGGGCACGAACCTGTGTCCCCTGCATCGGCAGGCAGACTCTTAACCACTGAGCCACCAGGGAAGCCCCAAGGAATGCTTTTAAATCTTTATATTTTTCATATTGTCGCATATAGCAAACACCAGGTGTTTGAAAGCAAGTACATGCAGATTCAGGAACGTCAGACTAAATGGTATAGGTTGACTGGGTCTTATATTTATTTCCTCCTGTCTTTAATCAGTCCATATTAAATGAGAATAAAATAACGAACTTTAGAACTTTAAGGTGTTAGCTTGGGTTTGAAATTCTAACTCTTGACTAGTCACCTACTCTCGGGAAACTTTCTGAAGCTCAGTAACCTCATCTGTAAAGTGGGATGGTGAGTTGTGAGGATTAAATGTTGTGTAAAAAGCACCAGCACAGTTCCCTTTGACCTGTAATCATTAGATAATAACATGTCACCAGTTTTCTCCTAGTTGTAAATTCGTGGTACTGAGTAAGGTATGAAAATGCAAGCTTTTTTTGCCTTTCTGAGCACATCAGGTGTCCAGTATGGTGCTCGTCTTTTTAGTAAAAGATGGTTTCTTAGGATAGCCATCAAAAACTATTGATCCTTAAAAGTTACTTCCGATTTTCACCCTTCTTTCATTTTTTAAACTTGGGTGCTTTTTTCCCCCCACTCTTCACACCTTTTATTATTATTTTTAACATCTTTATTGGAGTGTACTTACTTTACATTTACATTGTTGTGTTAGTTGCTGCTGTATAACAAAGTGAATCAGCTGTACATATACCTATATCCCCATGTCCCCTCCCTCTTGCGTCTCCCTCCCACCCTCCCTATCCCACCCCTCTAGGTGGTCACAAAGCACCGAGCTGATCTCCCTGTGCTATTCAGCTGCTTCCCACTAGCTATCTGTTTTACATTTGGTAGTGTATATATGTCAGTGCCACCCTCATGTTGTCCCAGCTTACCCTTCCCCCTCCCCGTGTCCTTAAGTCCACTGTCTACGTGTACGTCTGCATCTTTATTCCTGTCCTGCCCCTAGGTTCTTCAGGACCAATTTTTTTTTTTAGATTCCATGTATATGTGTTAGCATACGGTATTTGTTTTTCTAACTTATTTCACTCTGTGTGACAGATTCTAGGTCCATCCACCTCACTACATATAACTCAATTTCATTTCTTTTTATGGCTGAGTAATATATTCCATTGTATATATGTGCCACATCTTCTAAACTTGGGCTTTTTTTATGTCTTTTTCCTTTAACCAAATTGAATGTTAATTGGAGAAATGGGATTGAGGTAATGCTGGCTCATTGAGAAAACTAACTTGGGGTATGTGAATATTTTTTGGCATGGATAAGTCTTGATATATGTTGGACCTGGCTTTGAAGATATTTTTTAAAATTGAAATACAGTTGATTTATTTTAAGATATTTTTGAATGATCTGGAAAAGTGGTTGTAGTAAAGTCAACCAATTGTGAGAAAGTGAGATTGAGAAGACGGAATAATAGTATTTAAGCTCAGATAAGGATACAGGTAAGAAAAATACAGCTAACACTATACTGGATGCTGGACACTGGCCTGAGCACTTTACATCAAATGTTTAGTCTTCATAACAATACTATGAGGAAGTTACTCTTATTATTCTTACTTCTACACATGAGGAAACCAAGGCAAACAGATTAAATCATTTGCCTAAGGTAACAAAATTAGTAAGCAGCATATGGAGGATTTGAAGTCAGTCTGAGTCTGGATCCTCACACCTAACCCTCTTTGCCCCCCCCTGCAACAAATTGTACTCAAAAAAATAAAAATAAATTTTGTGCTAAAATATTCAAAGAAAATCTGTTTCCAGATTTTCTGAACACATCAAAGTCCTAGCCAACAGGGCAGTGAAGATCACAAGGCAAGACAAAGAAGGAGGAGGAAACCCGGAGAGCAGAGCCTAGCACTGAGGACTGTGACTCCTCCAGGCAACTCTGCCTGTTTCCCAAGAGGTGCTACAAGACCCAGACCACTCTTCTTTTCCAGCCACATAGCCCTCCCTGTACCTTTTCCCAGCTTTATATTATTTTTCACTTAGCAACATCTGACGCACCATATGTTGTAGTTAATGTGTTTGCTTGTTGGCTGCCGCTTCTTTATGACTAGAATGTCAGCTCTACCAGGGCAGGGGTCTTTTGTCTGTTTTGTTCATGGCTGTATCTTCTGTTCCTTTAAGAGTGCTGCACAGAGTGGCCTCTTACTAAATATTTGATAAATGAATATTCATCCTCATTGCATGATGGAAAATTAACACAATTCTGAGGGATTTCGATTTTGAATATAGATTTCTATATTAGCCAAATTGATCTTCAACCACGATGACAATTAAATGCGTTTGCAGACATACAAAGACTCTCAGGGTACCCATACTTGTTTTCTGAAACAAAAATAATTTATCATATTATTTGTGTTAAATATTTACATAATAAACATAAGATGTTTTTATGTATATCAGTGTTCTTTTTCTACTTTTTATAACTAGGAAAATACAAGTTAGTGTAAATGACTCAGGAATAAGTAAACATTTTCAGTTGATTAACAATCCCCAGATGATCTTGAAAAGATACGCAGAAATTCATCTTCCAAAAGCATTCAGTGCAGGGACTTCCCTGGCAGTCCAGTGGTTAAGACTCCATGTTTCCACTGCAAGGGGCATGGGTTCGACCCCTGGTCAAGGCTAAGATCCCGCACGCAGTGGAGCAGCCAAAAAAAAAAAACCCTCAGTGCAGAATATTTCCAGACAAAAATCTATTGAAATTTCAAAATAGTATATTTCTTTATTTTATTTACAGTATACTATGGAAATACACCTAGATGTCCCCATTCCATTCTACAGAGCTAGCAAGACCTATTAAAACCAGAAAGTGGAATTGCAAAGGAACTATAGACCAAGTATGGCTCTTCATATCCACGGGTTCTCCATATATGTGGATTCAACCAACAATGAATCAGAAATACTGGGGGGTGGGAGGGATTCCAAAATTTCCTAAAAGCAAAACTTGAATTGGCTTTGCGCTGGTTTACATTGTATTTACAACTATTGACATAGCATTTACATTGTATTAGACATTATAAGTAATCTAGAGATGATTTAAAGTATACAAGAGGATGTGCGTAGGTTATATGCAAGTGCTATGTCATTTTATATAAGGGACTTGAACACCCTTGGATCTTGGTATGGGAGTTTGGTCCTGGGACACCAAGGGATGACTGTGTAGGTATAAGTATAAATATTAGGAAAGAAAGAGGCAGAATTTATCATTATTTGCAACAACTTCATGGTTGTTTACCTAGGAAAATGGTGAGTGATGTGGATGATTACAAGGTAAAGATGTATAAATCAGTAGCTTTCTGATGTAGAAGCAGTAGCCAATTAGAAAAGAATTGACAAAATGATCTCATTTTTTAGAATAGCAAAAACTTTGGGATAGGCAATAAAAATCAATTCAAAATGTATGTGAATATTCATAACAAACAATAACAATCTGTAACCTTTGTAGAGC